TTGCTTGTCATAGAGAACAAACGTCACCGATCTAGCTAAAAACTAGCTAAACAATAGATCCGGATTATCTACAAAACATCAGTCTACTTTGCACCACTATCTTCGACAAAATTTTGGAATTTGGGGTCCTTCGCCAGAAAAATATGCGAAAACTACGGGAAAAGCAGCGCTAATCACTACAATTCATCCCAAAAACATAACATATACAACAAAACAGTATATTGAGGCACACTTTGTGGTCTAACGAAGGTATTATGTCATTTGAACCGCCCGAAAAAGGCTTGTGTGAACGTCAGATGGCTACAACGCCCCAACAGCAGAGACGTCCAGACACCCGTCGAAAATCAAATTGTGAGACATTTTGAACCACCGTGCACTCATTGGGCTTGATATGATGACCCAAAGACAACCGTTAGCACAGGGTACTACTGCGGTAATATTCTACCAGTGCGAAAACTGGATGCCGTGAACCAAATGGCCATGAACGGGTTTGTTTTGGAAACCAAATCTGTTGGAAGCCAAAGGTTGCGCAATGTTCAGACATGGAGCTTCTCCACTCCAGATGTAAAAAACGCAGCAAAAGTGGTGTAGGCAGAAATTTTTGTTTTGGGGGATAATACCTTATGGCCTGGGAACACTTTGATGTCAAGTTTATCTTATATGATCGTATTATCCTCCGGCAAGAGGTCAAAGAAAACAGGCCTACACCCAGTTTCGGGAGACCCGTAAAACAACTGAGACCAGCAATGGCTGGCATTTTCCATCATTGTCGGCTGAACTTGTAACAAGCGTATCTATTGCATGTGCTATTTCACAGCCACCCTAGTTGACTACATAGGACGGTAAAAAGAAAAAGCGCAATCATGTTTGCCTTATTTGTATACGCTAATTAACAATGTCCGGGTAATTATGGGACACCCTGTACGTCCTGATGAGGTTGGGGTTGAGGGAAGCGAAGGATAACACTTTTCTTTACATTAATCTGGAGACCCCAGGTAAGTGCTACGGAGTGCAAAGTATCTATATCCCGTTGGATTAGACAGGTTACTGGTGTAGGGGAGAGTGGGGCACATTCGTGCATGGGGCACATTCGTTTTCAGCAGTTTATGGGAACACGAGTGACTGCACGAGCTCAAGGTAAATTATGGAAATATGTCTATCATTGCCGCCCTTCGTTCACCGTAGAAGACAACACTGTACCTGCTGTCATGCTTGATAAAAACGCAAATTTGTAATATTCGTGAGCTTTCCAAACTTTTCTCATGTCATCCATTTTCGTGATCCTGACTCGGAAATTTGGTTCAGCTTTTCAAAATTGGGGTGAAGAAGCCCCCTCTATTCACGGAACTGCTGCAAACTTGTTTGTTGAAAAAGTGTCATTTTTTCAAAAAGAAATTTTGAAATATATTACTAATAACGTTGTGGGGCAGGTTCGTGTACGCACTGCCTGGGGGCACATTCGTGCATATTTTTTTTCAGTTTTTGCGATTTATGACTTTATCTGTAGTAGGTTTCTCTAATGACGCTCGCCTGACTCAGTCTCGACTGCTTGCGACGTCGTGACAAGCAATTCACGCGAACTTGGCGAGGTCACGGAGGCCGGCAGTTGGCACATTCTTGTTGGCCAGCCCATTCTTTCTACATTTGTTGTGCAATGCATTCTTGTCGAAAGGAATCAAGTGAAATGACCCCCTGCCAATTTCCTTTGGTAAATTTCTGGTAATGCCCGGTAATTTCTCGAATTTTGCCGGGTGAACGGAAGTGCCCCATCTCTTGAACGAATGTGCCCCATAGGTGGGGCAGTTTCGTGCAAATGTTCAGAGTTAATAAAAGTCATTTTTTCTTATGGAAGCAATAATTTTATAGGATAACTTTTAAAGAGGAAAACTATCTGCAATAGTTCCTTTCCATACTACAATCAACAATTTTGCCATTGCACTAACCAAAGAACAGATATATGGGTTTATCCATTTTTTGCACGAATGTGCCCCACTCTCCCCTAGTCGAGGACTGCCTGCGCTGAGCTACCGGAGCATAAATGTTCAAGTCATCGGCAAATATTTTAAAATTGCAATTAAGTTTAGATGCTATCCCGTTAATAAAAATCAGGAATAGTATGGGGCCCAAAATGGAGCCCTGTGGGACTCCACTAAGAACATCTCTCGGTTGGCTGATGTGACCTTTGACTCGTACTCTCATAGTTCTACCGCTTAAGAATTCCTTAATCCATTGAGGAATGGGTCCTTGGATGCCTAGGCACCGAAGTTTATCAATGAGTAAGTCGTGTATTACTACGTCAAAAGCTTTGCTAAAGTCAAACAGGATTACATCGGTAGTGTGTCCAGCGTCCATCTGATCTGATACAAAGTCATATGTCAGCAACAGTTGGTCTTGTGTGGATCTCCCTGCCCTGAATCCATACTGCTCCGGGAATAGCAAGATATTTTCTTCTAAGTAGGAAGTAAGGTAGTTACATACAATGCGTTCCATACATTTACCAGGGACCGAAGTCACACTTATCGGTCAGTAATTCAAGGGATCATATCGATGACCTTTCTTAAAGATAGGAGTGACTATAGAAGATTTCCAGCTATCTGGTAACCTACCAGCGCGCAGTGATCTGGAGAAAATTATATGTAACGGATAGGCTAGCTGGGATGCACATTTCTTTAGCAATAAAGGATGGATTTCATCAGGTCCTGTAGCACTGTTACCATCAAGGCGTGAGAGGACTGATTGAACATCATCTGGTGTGAATGCAGTCACTGAGGGTCCCATTAAAGACTTGGTGTGGTGACGGACTTTTAGGGCAATCACGCGAGAAAACCGTGGAAAATGACTCGACGAACTTGTCAGCCATTAGCTGGGGATCGTCAGTCAGCACGTTTCCACTAAGTCTAAGGGGTCCTATGTTTGGGCAGCCAACCTTCTTCCTTCTGATGTGAGAGTGAATCAACTTGGGATTTTCCTTAGAGTCGCTCATGAGTTTGCACTTATACTGCGCCTGAGACTGCACAGCAAAGTTTCTGAACTGTCTATTAAGTCTGTTAAACATGGAGAGGGCAGAAACTGTGTCTGGGGAGTGTTTGCCAGCTCTCTGTCTCACTGCTTTAAATTTCGTCCATGCCTGCCGACGATGTTCAATCAAAGACCTGGGTGGTCTTGTTGCCCAGGGCTGTTTCGTGCCCATACGAAGAGATGGCTTCTGGGGAACATAAGTCTGGACAAGTCTACTAAGATGACCAGAGAGAACGTTAAAAGCTTGGTTAGCACTCAAGTATGCTAGTTCGAGTTTCCAGTCAATATCTGTCAGTTTCCTACTAATTGCTTTGTAATTACCCTTGTGCCAGGCTCTTTGGGGCTGTAGTCTACTGCTGACAAGTGCTTGGCCAGAGAAGATATACTCCAGGGTTGTAGGGCAATGGTCACAACCTGGTAGTGGGCAAAGCACATCGACACGACCAATTCGATCGGATTCTGATGTCAAGATCAGGTCTAGAATATTCCCTGACCTGGGAAAGGTTGGCTCTTGAACCCACTGTATCAAACCAAGGGAGTCAAAGGCTTCAAGGAATGTGCAGTCAACCGAGGCTTTAGCTGTTCTGTCCTTTCCAGTCCAGTCTATTGATGGCAAATTAAAATCACCTAAAATCATAACCTCTTTACCTGTTCCGAAACTGGTAATAAAATCAGCAATGGCAACATTTTCTTCAGGAAGGTTTGACGGGGCTCTGTATACAATGACAACAAAGACATTGAACGACTGTAAGTGGAGTGTAAGAACGCCGGGAACAGGTGTTGACACATCTCCCAGCAGAATATCGCTTTTCACATAGCAACAAACGCCGTGTTTGGCTGTGCAGCCCTTGACATCATGCCGAACCGAAAGAGAGAGTATCCAGGGACATTGACAAAAGAACTATTAATCTGATCTATCAAATGGGTTTCTGAAATGCAACTAGTTTTAGACTTACTCAGAAGGCTGCTTCAAGCCTGGCATATCACACCCCAGAAAATATGCAAGGTAAGAAAGAAGCAAGAGTTTTGACTAGACAATCACTTTTTGACAGTCCATCAACTTAAGTTTCATTTCCCATACCTAACATTGATAATGAAAAGCATCAGGGTCAGTTGTTCTGTCCCACAACCATGCTTCAGATTAGATGTCTACACTGCTAGTGCTTCTATTCTGGTTCGTTGTTTATGTTTTCTATTGATGTAGGTACCTACCTACCCATCTTTCTTAACCCCTTGCAAGGGCTTGTGTAGGCATGCGATGCGCATCAGGCTTCAGGCCTTCCGCCTAAAGCCAGATACACAAACACTTAACCTATGATGCTTCATGAGCTTGAGAATCTATAGCCCATTGCAATGTGCTTTTGGCGATATTTTTCAACTAAAAACAACTTATTATATACTATTTGGTTGCATTTCATTGAAAGTATCCACGGCCGGCTGACGGCTGGCTGCCCACAGTTTGCCACGGCTGTGGGTGGCTGTGGCTGTGGAGCCACGGCTGCGGGGCGGCTAGGCTGTGGAAAATTGCAGCCGTGCAGAACTCTACTATGGGCGTTGCATGGAAAGAATGGGAGCTAAAGTCGGCAGTGCCCCCCCCCCTTAATTGAGGGCGTTCCGCCGCTACTGTCTACAGCAAGTTATGGGTGATCCATAAAACAACTGAAACCAGCATCGGCTATTATTTTTCCACAGCTAATCTTGTAACTAGCATGTCTAGTCGACTACAGAATGATGTTCCACTTTTCACAGGCAATTATTTGCCTGGAGTGGTAGGCTGTGCCGCATCATACGGGCTGAGTTCACAAATTATAGCTCTGTCCCAATGCTCACAATCGACACGCTTAATTGCGTGATAAACGGCACAACTTGAGTGTTGTTTTTTTATATTGTCTAGTGTCGTTCCGTGTGCGCCTGCGTGTCTGTGTCGGCTGGAAAGTGGTGCTGTCGTCGCCTGAGCCGATCCACCTCCCCTATGTCGCCAGCTGTTCGACCTGTTTACACTGGAGTCGCAGCAGCAGCGGCCCGGCGCTGGTGGCGAGGCGCGTGGCGGTCCAGAGGCGCGTGGCATCAGGGCAATGCTGGAGGCACTGCCCGAGCTGTGGGAAGGCGAGCAGTATGAGCAGGAGTACGACCTCAGCGGATTCATGCGGACCCTGCGGGGCTAGCTCTGAGCGGTGCCGAGGCACGCCAACTCGGCGGGTGCCGTGGTGAGCCGCGGCTAGTCGAGCGCAGCTGCCGTGTCAGTCATGTTTCTATAGTTTGCGTCGGTATTGCTCAGTGGTGGCTGCTGCGTTAGCCTAGCAATGAAGAGCAGAATCGGACGGATGGGCCGTTCGAAATGACTGGCCAGTGAAAGTGGGTGTTGACCTCGGCCGAAACGTTACGGCGGATCTGGTCCAGGACTGCCGAACCGCGTTGTGTTGAGTCACATTTTCCGTATGTCCCGGTTCAGATATTAGTTAATTCCTTTAATATAGACATCATTCTATAGAGAAACTCGTGTTTAGTAAGAATACTGTGTCATGCAGTTAATCTGACCAACAATTTCCAGCTAAAACTAACTTACCGTGATCTCACCACGATTTCCAGCCGCAGTTTGTTTTCAACATGTCGGCTGTCGCGAGAGCATAAATATAAAGACTAGATAGGACAGCCATATGTAAAACCCGCTCGCTTGATGCGTAAAGCGGCCCGGCGGCCAACCACAGTCGTCATCATAGACTCGCTAATGCCTTCGCATGTTAAAAAGGGCATCTTTGACGGACTCGTATGAGTTTTTGAATGCGAGCTAGATGTCATAAAGGGTCTCTCTCAAATGAAAGTTTGAACCGTCTTCTTGCTAGGATCCAGGGTTTTTAGTGGCTGACATGCCCCTGACAGCTTGCAGAGCAGGACCCCTCCTAAGAAGACACTGCAGTCTCGTCTTGTAATGTTATGGCAATGGGAAAAATGATATTTTAGATGGGTCAGTGGGGATTTCCACATGGAAGTGAGAAGTAGGAACCAACAATTAAAAGACTTATAATTCATGCAATGACATTTCATTTTGATGCGGAAATGGCCCCTGACAGCCTGTTGAGTCCACTTATTGACGGTATGTATTGCTGTCTGAACTTTGAATGTATCTGTTGCTGACGACGTGGGTGCCAAGAAAATGAGAGTTTAAACATTGGTGGAAATTTTCTAGTGGATACTGCTTGGATACTAGGGCATAAGGCATTTTACAACAAACGTCTCCCGTTCAGTCTCAGAATCAGAATCAGAATCAGAATGTTTATTAACGAATGATCCACTTCACGCTGTGGCTTTTCACAACCGCACGTCAAACACAAGCTAAAATAAATGACAGATGGGCTACCATTTCTACACAGTTCACACACTCACACGCGCTCAAATACTCAAATACTCGTGTGGACGGCTGTCGCTAAGTTTGGGCGGTAACCACTTACAAATTTCTTCACATTCGCTTTCGTTACGATGCCATTCGAATGTTGCAGTGCGCTATCGTAATCTATCACTCCACTGTAGTTCAGTCGACTGCGACCAGCCTCGGTTCGAATCTGAGGCAGCAGCCGCCGCTCAGCGCCTCGCGTGTGGTGCTGGTGCCGCTGATTGGCGGTAGGACCGATAGTGCGGGCCAGGGATACGGGCAGTTGGTACGCGATCAGACGGTGCACAGCCATCACTCTATGATACTGAATGAGATGATCTGCTCTCAGCCACCCAGCACGACATATCACGTCAGCAATATGCTCGTGTCTACGACGGTCGCTTAGCACACGTGCGGCAAAATTGATCAGCTTTTGAATGCGGTGTTTTTGAGTTTGTCCACAAATGCCATAAACCGACAAACAGTATCGTATCGTTGAGAAAACAAGAGCAGTGATGAGATATTTGAGAGTGGCGAGGGGAATGACATGCTTTGCGTGATTGAGGGCAATGAGCTTACCGGTACATTTTGGCACAAGCTTGTTGACATGGCACTGAAAGGTCAGGTTTTTGTCTAACGTCACTCCTAAATTACGCACTTGATCTGCACAGCTGATCGTAGCATCGGCAAACTTGACTTGCACGCTGGGAATGTCACGGAGCATTTGCTTCGTGCCAAACAGCATAAGCTCGGTTTTCGCAGCATTCACTACCATTCCGTGGTCACAGAACCAATTCAATAGACACTGGAGGGCAGTCTCGATTGTGCTGATTAAGTTAGGTAGTTCACACTTTTTGCCGGTCGTCCAGATCTGCGTGTCGTCAGCGAATTGGACAATGCGGACATTGCCTGGCACGTACAAACATAGGTCATTGGCGAAAATAGACCACAAAATGCAGCTCATAGATCCTCCCTGATACACTCCTACAGAGTTTTCTCTTACATCCGATCTGGTTTCGCATCCGGAAGTACTCGCGAGTTGTACATGTTGGGTGTGACCGCTTAAGTAATAAAAACCAAAATGGTTCTATGCCGTAGAGACTGAGCTTGTCGATAAGTTTTTCGTGAGGCACCATATCAAAACATTTCGACAGATCGACCATAGTCCAAAGTGTCACCTCACCAACGTCCATAGCACGAAGTATATCGTCGGTAACGACGTGAAGCGCTGTTTCACACGAATGGTGTTTCCGATACCCGTGCTGTGACTCGCTGAACAGATGAGGCGACTCAATGAACTCAGTTAACTGGAGCTGGACCGCGCGCTCTGTTATTTTAGTGATGGCTGGTAGCATCGATATCGGTCGTGTACTGGACGGATCACAAACAGCCGTTTTCACTTTTGGAATTGGCGTGATAACGGCATGTGCTTCCATGATGAAGGAACACGGCCTGTCTCTAGGCTGGCGTTGATTAAATCCAGTAGTATGTGTCCAAAACCTGTGAAAAAAGTCTGCACCATCCTGACGCTTAATCCGTCTGGTCCCTCAAATGATGACGTTTTCATGCCTTGCACAATGGTCCACAGCGTCTCCATGGTGATCGGCTGTACCTTGAGGCCGCCAGTGTTCACCCTCGGTAGGCGCGTGTAGACGGGCTCGGTCGGCGCTGGAACCGTGGCTGCCAGGGTGGGGGCTACAGAGACATAGTAGTTGTTTAGTGCGTCGGCGGTGAGGCTGATAAGTGACTGGGTCTTCTTCGAGCCGATCACGGGCCGCAAGACTCTCCACATGCTGCTTGGACCCGCTCTGGCCAGCTGCTCTTGAAGATGACGACGGCAATCGGCACGGATGGACGCTCGCGCCAGCCGGTTCAAGTCTTTGTAATCCTGGCGGCGACCGGTCAAAAGTGCGGTTCGTCGGAGTCCCTGAAGGTGGCGGGTGTGGTGTGAGGCAGGTGGGTTTCCTGGCGGCCTCTGGATGATTTTCCTGGATGGGGCTGCAAAGTCCAGGAGTGGCTTGAAGGCTTGACGGAAAGCTGCCCACTTCTGTTCACCTGTCCGTGCTTCTATCCTCAGGATACTGAAATCCTTCTCCTCCACGCCACAACCCCCTTCCGGGTTGGGCAGGCAACTTTATCTCATGCGGGCTGCTCCCTTGGAGCGGCACCGCTGCTCCCGAGGGAGCGCACCCCGTAGCCAGGTGCAGTGAGTGCCTTGGGGCTGGGTGGCCTGTCCTCTGGACGGGCTCAGCCCCGGCGACTCACTAGGGTGCCTGCCCAGACCAATGTCTCCCCCTAATTCCTATCATCCTTCCGGCTCTGCAATGGTCTTGTCAGACCGAAAGGGCCTAACCCAACAAAACAAACAAACAAACAAACCCACTTCTGTTCCGGCCCCTCCGCTAAGTAGAAGGACGTCCAGTCAGTGTTGAGTAGGTTGATGTTGAACTGGCCGGTGTCGACACGAGCCAGCGATCGGCGCACGATCGCGGGCCCTGATCGACGTTTTGAATTCGTTAGTCGTAGGGCAGCACGGGAGAAGTCGTGAGGTGTACCGTAGTGACACCGCGTCACCCCTGCTCGCGTGACGAGGTCGCTCCGGTTGGTGGCAAGAACATCCAACAGGCTCCCGGCTGGCCTGTACGTCGGCTGACGGTTGTTACGGATCTGCAGATCGTGTTGCGCGAGGAGGGCTCTAAGCCGGTCTCCTGGTGTGTTGTTGCCCGGTTTCAGAAGGCAGCAGTTGAAGTCACCGGCTCCGACCAAAATTGTGAGGTCAGGGTGGGTGACAACTGACAATCATGTGCTGTAGCTGAGCCTCGAAGTCGTCCAAGTCGGCGGTAACTTGTTGAATAGTATTCTTTGGTACCCGATACGCGGACCCCAGCAACAGGCGACGATGTTTACCAACACGAATTGTAATCCACAGGATTTCTAGGTTAGAATCGCGTACGCCAGTGACTGGTGTGGTTTGAACTTCAGCCTCATATGAATCGCGGACACCTCCATGACGGCTAGCGGTACGCCCGTTAGTTGGGCGGTCCTTTCGGAAGATTTTGTAGCCCGTAATGGTTAAAAGTCTGTCTGGAATACTGGCGGACAGCCAGGTTTCACTGAGTAGCAAAACATCGCATGAATAAGTGTCATCATGTCATCGTCCTGCTGCCGCCCTCCCCCCCCCCCCCCCCCCCCTCCATCGACCCCATGACCTATTGTGTAGGTCTGTAGGAGACATTACGTCCGCGTCTCGCAGCACCCAGTCGGTTCGACTCAGTCCCAGCAACCGACAGACCACCGCCCCGTTACATGCCGTCCAGCAATCGTCCCTGCAGGCCGGCTCTCCCAACAAATGGCCACAGCTGAGCTGACCAAATATTTATGTAATGCCAAACAACAGACGAACCCCAACCATGCAGCACACGCTGGCCCTCTTAAAGGTAGTGTGCCACCTTTGAAAGATTTCCCGTTTTATTTTTCCTAGGATAAGAAGCTTCTGTTTTTACCTAATATCGCAAAAAAAAAAATCAAAAATGGGCCTGGAATAGTGCCTTTTTCGCCTAAAAGTTTATCGGTTTTTAGATATGTATAACAACTGTAGTGGGCTCACCTGCAAATAGGCGTCGGCACGGGAGAAGTCGTGAGGTGTACCGTAGTGACACCGCGTCACCCCTGCTCGCGTGACGAGGTCGCTCCGGTTGGTGGCAAGAACATCCAACAGGCTCCCGGCTGGCCTGTACGTCGGCTGACGGTTGTTACGGATCTGCAGATCGTGTTGCGCGAGGAGGGCTCTAAGCCGGTCTCCTGGTGTGTTGTTGCCCGGTTTCAGAAGGCAGCAGTTGAAGTCACCGGCTCCGACCAAAATTGTGAGGTCAGGGTGGGTGACAACTGACAATCATGTGCTGTAGCTGAGCCTCGAAGTCGTCCAAGTCGGCGGTAACTTGTTGAATAGTATTCTTTGGTACCCGATACGCGGACCCCAGCAACAGGCGACGATGTTTACCAACACGAATTGTAATCCACAGGATTTCTAGGTTAGAATCGCGTACGCCAGTGACTGGTGTGGTTTGAACTTCAGCCTCATATGAATCGCGGACACCTCCATGACGGCTAGCGGTACGCCCGTTAGTTGGGCGGTCCTTTCGGAAGATTTTGTAGCCCGTAATGGTTAAAAGTCTGTCTGGAATACTGGCGGACAGCCAGGTTTCACTGAGTAGCAAAACATCGCATGAATAAGTGTCATCATGTCATCGTCCTGCTGCCGCCCTCCCCCCCCCTCCATC